CATGAACATGGCATATACAACAAGACCCAAATGAACGATTAATGAACAACATAGGTCGACGTCATTGGAAGTTCCACTGTTGTTGTTATTGTCGTTTGCTTCTTCTGTTTCCGCAGAAGTAACTACGTTGTCTTCTGTGGCTGATGGCGGTGAGCCTTTGGGCTTATTCTCGCTTGCTTCTACGTCTATGGACACATGACAGAGATTAATTTCTTCGAGCGTTGGTGGGGTGAGTGAGGGTCCATAGTCTGAGGGCGGAGTTCTGGGGCGCGTCTGGGAGGTCGACATTTTAAATAAGGGAAAAAAGCCGTTGGATAATTTGTAAATGCCATATTATACAGCATTTGATGAATTGGCCAATTTTTTACACTTGCTGAACTGTTCTTTATGGATCTCGTTTTAGTAGTAACAGTTGCGCAGTATGCACGTGTAACTTGTTCATAGAACTCAAAAATTGCGGAAAAAAGAAAGGGGGGGAGGAAAGCTCGTAAATAGTAAACGAACCGTTTTGAAGAGTGCCACAAAAAAGGTGGTCGTATAATGGGGGGCTTTTTCTCGGTGCCGTTATATTAATAGCAATCAATGACCCTGCAAAATAATGGGTTCTGGGTATATTAACGACCCAGATAGCTAAGCCATATAAGGCGATGTACCTTGCATGTTGTTTGTGGCTGGGCGCATTAATTGATCTGAAATCTAAATCGGCCGAAAAACTGATGAAAAGTTTCGGGTATTCCATGTTATTCAGGACAGTAAAAAACTGTTTAATACACAATACACAATACACAATCCACGACGCACGATACACAACCCACACAGCTAACACGTTTTAAACCCACGAAAATTACAACGTTGTTATTCTACCTAACCATACCGGTAGATTTTAATTGGGCATTCTTGTGGAATCGAGTAACAAGTAGTTAATTTACATAATGATCAACGGCTTATTTACTGTTTTGAATGCCATATGTATCTAATTGCATTAGTACGATCATTCGTCCAATATTCTTTATAAGTATTACAAATTTCATCACATCAAAAGATACAGAAATCCGTGCCCTTCTTTGGACAGAACAGAGTTGGTGGCGAGAGTTACATTAACTTAGGGGTTAGTGCAACCATGGGTTGTTTCTTGTTTGGCGTTTGCACAAATTGCACTCGACTCGTTTTCTTCTCTGCCTTTTTGACCACTATACACTCTTTCTCTTTGCACAGCTGGCAAGACCAACCGTGAAGCAGGCTCTCACATCTCGGTTCTATTGTCCGAATATTATATAACCTTTTTTGTAGTTTTTAATCTTAGTCTTTCCCCCAAGCAGACCTTTTTCATCTAACTTAATGGCCTCACGACGGTTGAAAAGACTCGCCCTAATAATTGCTCTCCTGTTGATAGTCCATGCAACTGTTATTACGCCTGCAATTGCTGCCGACCTTCCTGTTCCATCAGTAGGAGGACCACCTCCCGCGGGTGGTGGAGCGGGTGGTGGTGGTGGTAATGGTAATGGCGGTGGAGGGGCTGGAACAACTGCTGGCGGTGGTGGTGGTAATAATGGTGGTGGCAATAATGGCGGTGGAGGAACTGGAACAACTGCTACCGGAGGAGGAGGTAATGGTGGTGGTGGTGCTGGAACTACTAATCCCGCACCTTCAACCGCACCTTCACCTACAACTACGGCACCAGCACCACCCGCAAATACGGTTAGTATTTTATTAACTATGAATACGAGTAGATGGGTCAAACATGCATTGCTGTCAACATGATTTCATCAAGTGTTGGTCTGATTATTTATTTCTTCATTCTCTATTAGAACACACAGGTAAAGTTTGCGAAAACGTGAAAACGGGGGAAAAGGCGCTGCTTAAAAGCTCGTCAATTATCAACCATCTCGGCTCGTTTTGACCATTGAATGTCAAACTGGCATCGCAACCGCAATTATTCATTGTGAAGGAAGATGTAATGCGGTAGACGCTTGGAATAGATACATGGAATAGAGACATACTAATGTTCATAGTTATGAATGACGAGCACAGCACGCTTTTCGACAGCATTGATAATATCTCATCGCATAATTAATATGGAAAATAATCGTACAATGTTTCCCACTTGGCAACTAACTCGACCGTTTTTCGTTCCTCCTTTCCATATTTTTCAACGGGTTTATTTTATTAGGCTCAAACCACCAGTAATCCTGGACCTACAACAAGTAACACTCCAGCACCCACCTCGACGAAAGGGCCACCCAAAACGCAAGTCATAACCTCCGTATCATCAAACGCAGATGGAGGTGTTGTTACGCTCACACTGACAACCACTACAGATCCTGTTTCTACCGATGATCCGACTGCGACGGGTGGTGCGAATCCTAATAACAGTAACGCAAAGGGCCAAGAAGGAGGCTCTAATACAAACGTTGTTACCGCAGCCATTGTTGTGGGAACTGTCGTCGTTGCTGCCGCTTTTGGTATTTGGATATTTAGGAAATGGAAGCTATCTGTATCCTTTTTATTATCATTTTTATTTTTGGATGAAAATGTGGTCTTTAAATATCGGCGAAAAATCATAAATTATGTCATGAATACGTAATGTGTCATCATTATTCCTTAACCCTTTTTTTTTTTCTCAACAGCCATCAAGAGGTTTCAAGGAAAAGATCCAACCAGTAGATTTCTCACCCCGATCACACGAGTCCGATACAATGTTCTTGCGAGAGTTGAATGAGCCTTAAAATTTAGAATGCATTGAACATACGTAAATAGCGTTTTAATCAGATGATATTACTTCTATTTTTTACGCCTAGAGTGAATCGTAAATAATACTGAACGTTCGGAATTTTTTTTATATTTAATCGTGTACATCCGTGATTACACACCATAATCAAACGAAAAGTTTTTGTTACTTAGCAAATTTTATGTTACATTTTTAAACGTCATTTTTCTCATCTTGTAAAACCATCGGCAACTAGACAATTGGAGAGATCTCTGAGTTTGGACTTTATACAATTGTGTATTGTGAAAATGTTTGGATGTGTTGAGATGTGTTGGGGTGTGTTGGGGTGTGTTGGGGTGGGTGACGAGATGTGAGCAAGACATGATGTTACGTAATGACACGTTATTGTTGTTTGTTCTTGTTATAATTCTCGTTGTATTATTATTGTTATTATTATTATTATTATCATCATTATTATTATCATTATTGTGCTCGTTGTTGTTGTCGTTGTTGTTGTCGTTGTTGTTGTGTAAAGTCGCTCTTTACGCTGTGATTGCATATTACTACTATTACTATAGAGAATTTTTCAATTGTTAATGTTTACAAAATTATATTAAATATACATTGGCATTTCCCAGACAGGTGTTCTGTTTTTTGATTAATCTCGAATTACTACAAACACTCGTCAAGCTAAATGTGTGATACCAATAATAATAAGTCTAATTACAAATGGCAAACCAATTAAATGTCTTATCATGAATGGTACATATTTCCATACAAGTGTACCAAGTAAACTGTGTCATAACAGTCATAACTCGTCATGAGAAATGGGTTTTATTGAGAACGAATTCGTATTTTGACAGGCCGAAGTTCAAATATTCTTATTACGACAGTTGCTGTTTAGCCCAAATAAATCCTTGCCTTTTTTTTCTATTCCGAGTTGTCGCAATCAACGTTTCAAGTATGACTAATAAGATTTGCTTAATTAATTTATCTTTTACTATAAACGTGGATGAATCAAGTAAAAAAAGGGGGGAAGAGGTTTTAGCGTCAGATTTAATTTCAGAGAGTTTACAAAAGAAAAAAAAAAGGAAAAGCATCCAACTCGAAATAAACTTCGGTTTGCCCATACTCTAACATTAATTAAACCTCGAGGTTTTAGTTCAAGTAAAAATATTAATTAATGCCTATTCAGTAAGTACAAGCATAAAATGCTGAAATACACGACGTGTTAAAACGAAATAAACGTGCTTGTGACTTTTGCTTGCAATCTCAAGCTTTACGCCGCATTATCATTTTGTAATAGTAATACCCGCAACATTCTAATTTTCGTCGGGTCTCTCTTTTTAAATGTATCAGCCACTGTTTAAACATATGTTGAAACATCATCACATGCCACAATCTATAGTAATAGACGGAACCCTAGACGAATATATCTAGTGGTTGGTATATGCCAAACGCTTAACAAACTCTGGTGTTCAAAGTCGTTTAACGAAAACCCAAATCATAAACAAGGGCGTGTTTTAATGATGATCGTCTCAACACGCGCAAGTCTTGAACAATGAAATAAAGTTTTCCTTTGTTTATTGACTGTCGCAAACTTAATTTGTGTTATCGGGGGACACGAATTCATAATTATAATGTGGGGCAGACTGCAACAAAACCAGACAAAGTGAACATTTGATTACATGAGGCTGATAATAATGTGGCTGTAAAATTGACCATGGAACCCAAGAATTATAGCACTATTAGAAGCATTCTAAAAAAAGCTCAAGGAGAAAAAATTGCTTCCTATGTTTTAAAAACCAATGATACCCAAACTCTCCAGAAATATCTAAAATTACTTATGAAATTTACTAAAAAAAACGAAAAATAGTAAACCATAAACGTACTTTACCACCAACTTATGATAAACCAAAAAAAAACGAAAATTGGAAGACAAGTAAGAGAAAGCAGTTTAATATTCCTTATAGTTTTTGACTTATTGATAAAGAACTGTTTGAGTGCATTCGTTGAGCTTTGAGACCATTGATATAATGCAATTAAAGACTAAAACAATGTAAAAATAATTCAATTTTTTCGTAAGCATAAATTCGATTATTGAATGTGCGCGCTTGAAACATAAAAGCACCAGAGTGATTGCATAGGAGAAAAATACTCGGACCCAAAGCCATTAATGACTATAACCTATTCTTTGTCACTCTGGTGCAAATTTAAATTTCATTATCTTCTTTACTATCGCTATTATTAATATTATCTATTTCTTCGTTTTCATTTTCCCCATCTGAGTGATTTACATCTTTCTTCTTCTCTTCGTCGATCCACCTCAATAGTCTTTCTCCGCGGGGTTGTTCTTTGAAGATAAAAATTTCGCATTGTAGAAGCTGCAACAGCTTTTTCTTCAAGTAATTTATAAATTTTCTTAAATGAAAATTTTGGATCCGACTCGGGTCATTGATTAAGCCGAAAATTTGATCACATCGCGCAGCACAAACACTATTGACAGATTGTTTTGGTTGGCTTTGTTCGTTATAGTTCCTTTTTTTTTTTTTTATTTTTAAAAACAAAAATAAAAAAATAATAACGAATGACGCAAATAAATAAATTGATAGAAAAAACGCACTGTATAAAACACTCATAAAACGCGGGTTAAGACACGCGATGTCTGGCAAGATAACTATCCCCACTGGCCTCCCCGAGAACGTCCAAGACTGGAAACGCTCTGAGGTGCTCGAGTTTCTTAATAACAACAGAATCCAGTATGACCTCGACAACGAGGACATTCAAGTCATCGGAAACAACAAGGTTGCTGGCGTTGCCCTTCTCGCACTGACTGAAGAGAAGCTTCGCAGCATTGGGGGCCTGCTGCGGCTATCGCTCAGCTTATCGAAGAGTTCAAGCAAGCGAAAGGGCTAGCAACCGCGGGTAACGACTTTGTGACTCGGGCGTTGGGAACATAGAGTAGTGTGTGGATATTAAGCTAACTGTATTTTCACTTGGAACATATAGCTTCAGGTGTGCGTGCTATTAATTATACAGTGGAACCAATTAATGCTGATGGCTTCCGCTTTGACCTCCCATTGCAGCAAGCTGTTCTTATTCTAAAGACTGAGATGGACC